GCCCCTGCCCACACCTCCCCCAGCTCCCAGAAGTCCTGTTCCCTTCCTCTGTCACCCACGTAGCCCCCGCCACCTGGCCGCCCACCTGAAAAACTTTTCCTTAAGTTCTTGAGAAGTCGCGTAGGATCCAGGGAGAAAAATCAAAGTAATAAAACCTCATTTAATTCCTAACGGAGGGCAGAGCTGTGAGCTGCAATTATCCTAATGCTGCGCTATTTTTACTCTCTCCCCATCTCTGTCTCCTGCCTCTCTCCTTCGTGATGCTCTCTCTTTCTCCCTTTGTCTCTCCATCTCTCACATGTGTTTTCTCTGTCTCTTTTCACTTTTTTTCCTACCTGCCCCCCGTCTCTGTCATCCTTCCTTCCCTTCCTCCTCCTTCCTGTCTGTCTGTCCCTTGTGCTTGTACCTCTGTCAGCCAGGCTTGCCCACCCCTCTTAACCCCAGGGTTTAGCTGTGGGAGCCAGAAAAGCTGGGGAAGAGGGCATAGACCCTCTCCTCCATCCCTGAACGCTCCATCTTCCAGGCCTGGCTTCCCAGCTGCCCCAGCCTGGGTCAGGGGCACTTTTCCTGATCCAGGGCTTCCTAGAGCTTTACTCCTTTTGGCAGAACCTCCGTAAACAAGTCCTCCCTGGTCAAATGAGCCTCAGTCCCTGTGGTCCCCAAGGTCATCTCCGCTCTGATGGGCTCCAAGGTGCAACTGGTGGTGATGCCTCCTTGTGCCTGACCTCTCATTACCTACCCAGCTGTCAGAGGACAATTCTGTCCCCTTTATCCCACTCCAGGACCCTCCTGCCCTCCAGCACTGGAAGCCACAGGCCCCTCACCCTCACCATGGGCCAGTAGCCACTCAGATTACTGTCTGAGTGGCTGTCTGAGTGGTCATGTTCCTCCTGACTTTCAGAACCTCCTTATTTACCCTCCCAAGGCACTGCCAAACTGGTCTTTGCCACTCCCCACCACACCCCATCTGGAAGAGGGGTCTGGGCCAAGCCAGGGGCTGCCAGAGATGCCCACACCCCTGGGCCAGCAACCTGGCATCCGGCTATTTCCCAACAAGCATGTAAGTCAACAAACATAGCCGGACTTGAGCCAGGCCTGGGGTTGAGGGGTGTGGAGCTGAGTAGCCAGGGTTTTCAGCTCCCATGAGCAAAGCTCTGCTCTCCTGCCACCCTCTTCCTCACCCCGAGTGAACACTGACTCTGGGGCACAGCATCATGCCCTTGACCCCATTTCCACAGGTCTCCTCTGGCCTCCTGCTCCCCCCTTGCTCTGCCAAGGACCCAGCATGCTGGGGCTAGAGTGGAAATGTTGCTGGAGGTGGGGGGAGGGCTCCTGACTGATCCAGGCCTGAGTGTGACCAGGAGAGAACACAGCCAACACAAACAGAGCCTCGGGAACACGTGCAACGGACACATCTACGCACACTCCCTGTCAGCATTACAGGAGGCATTCAGACCCTCACCCACAGGCCTGCACAGGGAAACATGGGCTCCTGCGAAGACACCCAGGACCTGGACAGATACACAGGGACAATCCAACCCACAGGGCCAGCGCACCCCCTTTGCCCCTCCTGAGACACACACAAACATCTTGAGAGAGAGAGAGAGAGAGGCTCACGCCTTGGAAATGAGCACACACCTCTCCTCTCAGCTCTGCTCCTGAATGCACCCAACTCACACACGTGATGGCACGTGTACAGGTACAGGCAGCCCCCCGGCACCCTCAACTCTGTGCCCCTGGGCTGGTTCTGTCTCCCTCCCATTCGCTCTGGGGAGACAAGGAAGGCACGTGAATCCAGTGAACCTGGTAGAGGCTCACAGCCTCACCCCTCTACTGCACAGGCTAGAGCTGTGGATACAGCTCCCCCACGCCCCTGCAAGCTGGCACACCCATGCCCATCACCCTGACAGCCTCTGACAACCTCCTCCACACCCACACCCTCCCTCACACACACATAGTCCTCCCACACCCTGCCACTCACACTGCATCCTTGACACTCTGACACACTTACTCACAGACTAACATGCACTCACCCCCCCCCACACACACATTCCCCAGCTATAGGCACCGCAGGGCCCCTGGCACTCACACACTCCCTGCATGGTGACTGACACGTGTCCTCCCACGCACAACCCGCTCCTTCACGCTCACTCGATTTCCAGGACACCCCCATTCACAGCGTGACATGCTGGTGGCACTCTCTTCACGACCTCACAGGCCTCCCCGTGAAACTCCAAGAACCCCGGCCATGAAGGGGTTAAAGCCAGAGTCCCCGCGGCCCCTCAGCCTCCCCACATAATCCTCCCTGCTGGACTCCATCAATAATGCAGCTTCAGGTTCTGGGGAGACGGCAGGGGGCCCCCAACCTGCTCCCCGCCCCAGC